GGAGACGTGTGGTTAATGCAAAATAGAAATGCAAGAGTAGGCAATACCTTTATAGACCACTAAAAAAAATCATTATGCAACATACGAGCTTTCGTGAATCAAGACCCCCTCATCAGGCTTGTACCCGTGCAAAGAACATGATACCTTTATCGACCACTAAAAAAAATCATTATGCAATATACGAGCTTTCATGGATCAAGACCCCGTCATCAGGCTTGTACCCGTGCAAAGAACATAAAAGTCCAAAAGTATATGGTGAGATGGATTTTGTAAGGAAAGTTATGCTTAGATTTTCTTAGATGTCCAAATTCTTTTTATGTTAAATACCTTTCCTGGCAAAATCCATCTTGCCATGAATTTCTGGACTTCGTTCTTCACACGGGTACAAGCCTGATGAAGTAGTCTTGAAACTACGAAAGCTCACATCTTGTATGACAATTTTAAAAATGATCTATAAAGGTACCGCCTACTCTTGCATTTGCATTTTGGTGGCAGTTTCCCCCTCTTTCTGACCTCCCACCTGTCCCCAGTTGACATGGTTTGCTAGCCCATTCGCAGATAAACTGCAAAGCTGTGTGACTGCGGCTTCTGCCACCATCAAAGAGGCGAAATCCAGAGATATCCCAAAATTGGACAAATGCCTGCAAATTCAGCCATGAGTTTTGGGGAGGGGGGGATATTGAGAGTCCAGTCTTTTCTGGCACCACTTTTTAAAGATGCCAGTTGGCAGAACCTATTTTGGCCATGCTGGATGGTAGATACTAAAAGATGTGGGGTTTTTAAAATAAAAAATACAACTTATAAATTGTGGCACCGCTTAGAAGGAAAGAAAACCCAGCAGCTGCTGATTTCATGGCTGCCTCCTCCTAGTTAAGAAGGTACGCTTGCTCCAGTTTGCAGCTCCTCCATAACGTTGCCAGATTGTGTGTGTGTGTGTGTGTGTCTCCTTTTATTACCAAATAAAAAGATGCAATATTGGAGTGCCTTATCTAGGTAGTTTATTGGTAGTAGAGCAACGGGGATTTCATCCAAGGTGAGAAATTTAGATGGTATGAACATTGCTGTCGGAAGGGCGTGTTCCTCTTTGTTGGCATGTGACGATGGAAAGGCAAGAACCTGCCTGCCCCAAGGGCGTATCCCACCTCTTGCTACTTACTCCTCCCTGGGAGGAAAGCAGCAGGACAGGTGAGCTCAAAGTGGAATGACTACGGTTGTTTCATGCTCAGACCTACACGTCCCACCGTCTCCTCCTCACAAGGCTAATCCCGGGAGTTTCATTTATAACCCTCCTGTAGTTTGTGTGACTGGGAGGGCCTTTTCTGGACTGGGGCAATTCTATCTGGTACTAAATGATCATTTCTTCCAGCCCTTGATTTCAAAAAGACTGCCTCTCCGGCCGAGTGTTATTTTCTCTCTCTTTCCAGTTGTTTGTTTGCTGTTGATCGGTTCGGATGCTAAGCACGAGTGCAGTAACGAAAGCGGCGCGCACGAGTCTGTAATTTTAAGCCACTGTAGGTAATGAAACCCTTTTATTATTTCTCCTACCGAGATCCCAAACTGAATTACTGAGACTTTAATGGCCAGTGAACGAGAAAGGGGTGGACACCGGGGAACTTGCAGCTATTCTCCTCTGCAGAACTCCGCACATCTGCTGTGTGGCAGAAGGAATTTTGCCAGCCATTCAGAACTCTGCAACAGCTCTCTCATGACCCGGGTTTAACCAACAGGACTGCAGAGACCCAAATGCCAAAATTATTAGCTGCGCCTCTGGACGGCGACCTCTCCTACTCTGTATTTTAGATGTGAATGACAGACAAGTGAATCAAGCCAATGTGGCCGCTTCCTTTCCTCGCCTTTGCTGGCAGTTTCGAACAGCGTTCTCTGCTTCTGTGTCTCTTGCGCCGTTTGCTAGCCGATGGGGATTAAAAACTCGAGAACGACATTGCAATCCAGAACACAGGACATCTCCAGTTTTCATCTTGGTCTGTGGCTTGCACAGTAGTCTGTTAATACACAGCTATGCCACAAAGAGAATTTCAGTTGAGATCTTTGGGAAAAGCTGAATTTTAAAAAATATCTACAAAGCCGAGCCAACCCTCCCCAGCTGTGTGGTTGCTGTTTGGGGCTCCTGAGGTGATGGCAGAAGCACTTCTGAAGAAAGGCTGTAAAGGCAGCTGAGAATGAAATTCATATTTCACAGTCCTCAAGTGGGCTGCGGCACCGATGAGCTTCCGGCTCCTCCAGTCTTCCTTACAAGGAAGCTGAAACTGCTTTCTGCAGAAGAGAACAAGAGGTTTCTTTTCAATCTAGCTGAAATGAAAAATATGGGTCTCCAGGGCTGGCGCTGATGGGCTGTTAAAAAAGGACTTGTAAGCTACCACTATTGGGATGTGTTGGCGCTGTGGGTTAAACCGCAGAAGCTTCTGTGCTGCAAGGTCGGAAGACCAGCCGGCGTAAGATCGAATCCATGCGACGGAGGGAGCGGCCATCGCTGGTCCCAGCTCCTGCCAACCTAACCGTTCGAAAGCATGCAAAAATGCCAGTCCATAAATAGGTTCCACCACGGTGGGAAGGTCACGGTGTTCCGTGTCTAGTCGCGCTGGCCACGTGACCACGGAAACTGTATTCGGACAAACGCTGGCTCTACAGCTTGGAGACAGGGATGAGCACTTCGCCCTAGTCGGACACAACTGGACTAAATGTCAAGGGGAACCTTTACCTTTAAGCTACAACAAAGGAACTGGCTTTCTGGTTCAAGGTAATATGTAACATTTATTAGAGCTGGTGTGGCTGCCATTCTGTAACGCAATTCTAAAAAATGGGGGCAGCCCAAATAAATAATGATATATCTATTTAACTGGGCTTCAGATTAACTCCAAATTTGGCATGGTTACTACCATGTCAATTGCTTTGTGTCTGGATGTGAAGCGGTCAATTGATGACAAAAGGAGTCAGGTTTGGGTTTTTTAGCCCAAAGAAAAAGAAAAATATTCAAGCTGTCTAAACAGCGATTTGATTTTGACTGGAGAATTCGGATTCGTTAGCTGTACAAAAGAGCTGCTCTTTCTGGTAGGCATGGGGAAAAAAAAAAGGAATTTCTGACTTATGAAGGCCCTTAAAAGACTTCTCAAAATATGTGAGATGGTCAGGGAGTGGTTTACCACTGCCATTGTGGCCCTTCCTGGTGAATTATTATGGCCAAGTGAGGATTTGAATCTAGATCTTCTGAATCCTATTCTGACACTCTATTATACTCATTATAGGTGAGTGCCTAGACACTTTAAAATTTGCCGTAACTTTACATCACTGCTCACAAATTATACTTCTGATGCAGGATAATCCTAAGAAATAATATTAACAATGCAGACCTGGAAGGGGACCCGTATGGATCATTGAGTCCAGCTCTTGTCAAGGAGGCATAGTGGGGAATTGAACCCCCAACCTCCGGCTCCGCAGTCCAATATGTAACCTGAATTCTGAACTATCCAGAATTGTTCTGGGGCACTCTGAAATAGTAATTTCCATTTGGTAAAGACAAATGTGAGTCCAATATGTCCAGGTGTGGCCGTTCCAAAGATTATCCAGCCAATGAAGATTCTCATACAGTCATCAAGGACTGCCCTGTACAGATGAGTCTGCAGTAGTCAAGGCCTGAGCTTTAAAGGGGCCTAGAATTCCAACAATAACCAGGAAGAAATAATTAAGTGACTCCTTTCTTTTCTTTCTTTTGTTTAAATTTTAAAGAACTGTCTCTTTTAATTTTGATATTTGTGTCAAGTACAAAAAACCAACCAAATAAACAAAAACGATCTTTTGTAGTTCTGTTTATCCAAGTTCCCCATCTCATCCCCTCGCTCCCCCCCCCGAGGAACAAAAAAGACAGACAAAGACACTTCCTTTTCTTCTCCCCAAGTTTCCCCACCCCAATCTGACATCGAAAACGTACACAAGAAAGATCACATACAGTAGAGAGAGAAAAAATAGGACAACTCAAAAGGCCAGCTCTGTGCTGCAAACTTAAGACGGGTTTGAAACCAGTTCAGCTGGAATAGCTCCCTTTAAGGAATCCTGGGAAACGTAGTTGGACGGGGTTGATGAACAATTTCTCAACTTCCTTACAAAAAAACTACAGTTCTTGGTGTTTCTCAGAGGAACAATCGACACTCATTTAAACCCGTTTACATCTGTAGCATGGATATGCCCTTCTGAGGCATCTCATTGTAGATACTGTAAATTCTTTGAGCCACAATAAATACATTCAAGGAAAAAACAAACCCACACCTATTATTATTGCATGATATGAGTGTGGGTATATTTTTATATACCCACACCCATATTATTGCATGATATGCTGTCTATAATCAGTCTTGAAGTCTACAGGAATCACGATCAGTGGATAGAGCCCGGACAAGCTCCTGTTTTCTGGACCACAGCTATCAGAAGCTGCAGCTCGCAGACAAGGTGGCTAGCGTTCTCGAGAGCTGTGATCCCCTCCCCGAAAAAGGAGGCTTTGCACAGACCTGTGTGCACATTTTTGCACATCTTCCAGATCTAATTGTGGATGGACTAGATGCCCTTGGGGAACCCTTCCACCCCTAGGATTTTGTGATTCTTTGCTTGAATTTTGGGGATTTAAAAAATGGCCTCTGTTGCATAAGGCAAGCCCTCCCGGGGTGGGAAATGCACACTTCAGTAATGATACTGTTTTGGGCTAGAAATGCCTCAAGCTCTGGAAAAATGCTAGCGCTGTATTCAGGAGGCTAGATCAGCGACAGCATTTCCAGATTTGCTACACCGAAAATGTCCCAGATCACCACTCTTCCAACTCCAATCACTGGAGATGCTGGACGTTGTTCTCCAATAGATCTGGAGAATGCCAGATGGCTGTGGGACAAACTTGAAAGTGTTACCGGACTCTGGAGGTGTTACTGTTTCAGACTAAAACGAGACCCTTTGGGTGAGGTTCACAGCAAATTTCAGTCTGTATTTTTTTTTAAAAAAAAGTCACACTCCGGAGTCCTGGATGCGCCTAGCTGCCAGTTGCTGCACCTCATATGCATCACTGAGGCCTAAAATCAATCCCTTGACAGGCATGGAGCAAATGCAAATACTGTATAAGTACATTTTGCAAGCGAGTGGCTCAAGAATCGATGCAAAAGTTCATTTGCTAATTTTACCCCAATTTGGCACAATGAAGAACCCAGATGGGGCTACGCAGGTGAAGGGCGGTGAATGATGTAAATATGAACCCTGTGGATTTGCAGCAAGCCAGAGATTCAGGGAAGCTCCCGTTCGGTCCGTACCCTCCTCCAACATTCACGCCACTGATCAGAGAGAGACACATTTTCCCCATGTAAAGTGACTAAAAAGGCAGGGCTGCTTTCTCCTTTTTTGGGGTGGGTGGCTCACAGGGGCTTGTAGTCCACTTTGTTTTAACAGTGTTCTCGGCCGACAACTTCTTATGCGCATGGCTGCTCTTCGATATCGGGAGCTGAGGTCAGTGGTACGGCAGCATGCTTAGCCCGGCAAGAAAGGTCTGGATTCTCCCCAAAGCACCTCCAGTTAAAAGGGTGTCTCAGGCGAGGCCGGAGTTCACAAAATACCATCTCCTCGCCCGCCATCTGGAACTCCGCCGCTTGCCAGAATGCATCAGATGCTCCGTCAGAAACCAGGAGAACCCGAATTTCTAGGAATACAGGGAGCTGCCTGGCGGTGAGCCAAACCATCGTTCTACCTACCTGGGGAGTTTGAAAACCAGGTCTCCCAGAATCCAGGCGCTTTAAGCAACGTGATCTTGCAGAATCTAGTTCTCTCCAGAGAGGGGATGGAAAGGCAAAAGCTACCCACCCTCGAGGGGAGCTGCCGCTCTCAAAGGTGGATTGATGGCTTTGGGGGAAATGATTTTGGACACTTGGTAAGAAGCCTTCATCGCCTGCCGGTCGCAGGCGGTGAGATTTCTCTGCGAGGGCTGCCGAGGAGTTAATCAAAAGCATTGTTTCTTCACAGGCGAGTGGTTTGGACGGAGCCTGGGGGGCAAAAAGCAGCTCAGCACCAGGCGAGATGAGAGCGAGCATCTCCGTTGCCCACCGCCTTTCACAGGCGGCTGCTTAAGTAGGCCAGCTCACCTCCGGCGCTCTGAAGCACTTGAGCGGGTGGGGGGGGAGAGAGGGAAGGAGCTACTGTATGCCTCAGTGTGGAAAGGAATGGCTTACACCTACCTGGTGTACCTTCCACCCACCCCACTCTCTGCGCCCTCCTTTAAAACAGACATGCCCGTTTCCATCTTTAATTAGGTATGCCTGGGAGGATCTGGCAGTGCCCATTCTGTAACCAGAAGCGATGCTCTGGTCCAGACCAGGTGTGAGGGAGTAAGCCCATCTCCTAAGCTGGCTGCCCATTTGGGAAGTTGTGATTTTTTTTTTAAAGTAACGCTGCCAATTTCCAATTACTCTCCAGCCTTCTGTCTCCCAGGGCAGCCAGCCTCGGAGGAGCGGTCCTCATGGAGGCGTGAGCTACGCAGCCTTGTTTCCAGAGGCGCACGGGTTCTGAAACTCTTCATGCCCTCCGTGAATGTCTCTGATCCCTTTTAAATGGTTTCCAAGTCAGAGCCACCGACAGGATCGTGAACCGCAAGCCAAAGTGTCGGGCCAGGAGGAGCAATCCTGTAACTTGGTGGGGATGGTGCACCCACGCCAGATGTGACTTTGTTTGGTTCAAGAAGCTTTGCACAAGAGGCGTGTTCAGGACTGGCCATCATACCTCAAGGAGCCAACAACACATTTTGGGAAGATCCGGTGGATCTCTCAGATCATAGAAGATGAAGGCTGGAAGGGACCATGGGGGGTCACCTGCAGGACGGCGGAGGGGGGATCCTGAACTCCTAAGAAAGTAAGGTAACCGCAGTATAATGATATTATCAATGGCTTTTTAATTAAAACTATACTTATTATAAAATAAGGGTGTACAAATGTGTGTTTTGGGATTATAGCTCCCAGAATAGCTTAGCTGCCAGGGGAATTCTGAGAGCCGGATTCCAAAAAACAGATTTACAATTCTGCATTATGTGAGGAAAGTGAAGACTTATTTCTTCTCTTTCACCACACTGTTAACCAGTAGGGTTATCTACTGAAACTGAGTGGTATAAGATTCAGGGCCGAATGTTTCTTCCTGCAGCACAGAGTTTACCCAGTGGAACTCCTTGCCACAAGAGGTACTGATGGTTGCTGACGTGGCACAGCTTCCAAAGGGGATAAAACCAATTCATGGAGACCAGGCCTATCGGTGCGTATTCTGAAAATGATGGCATTTTTACCTTCAGCACCAAAACCAGTCCACCTCTGGATACTATTCATGGCACAGAACAACTGAAAGGGTGCATTTGCCATGACATGCAGCTTGTCAGCCAACCATAGCAGGAAACAGGATTCTGGACCTTTGATGTGATCCAAAAGTGCTCTCCCTACTTATCATGTATTGAGATGGGAGATTGGACCTTCTTGGACTACAGCTCCCAGAATGCTGGGACATTGTGAGAATTCTAGTCCAAAGATTTTCACTCTGCGGTACCAGCATTGTTAATTTGTGCAACGGGCCCGAGTTGCATCAGACGACCGCCCAAGTCCCCTTGTGAGAAACCACATGCACAAAGGTAACCGTGCAAGTAGTTCCTTCGTCTAGCATGATCACTAGTGCACGGTTCGGTACACGGAGGGCGACCCATCGGGGGAGACAATTTCCAGGGCTCCCCTTGTACTCTTTATCGCCTCCAAAAGAATCTGGCCATTCTGTTAGGCTTTAGTAATGCCACCTGGATATTTCATCCCCCCATGCCTGGTACTCCTAGAGTAAAGAATTATGCTAGAGTAACAGTTACAACTGGAAAGTCCTCCGTTCGAATCTTCTCCTGGCTGCGAAGTAACTGCTGCCACCGTCGGCGTCGCGCTGATGAGGCAGAGAATCCTTCGCCCAACAAGGTCACCCGCTGCGTTCATACCAAAGGCCGTCGCTCGGCCTCTTCCTCGTGAGCCACGCCAGGTTGAGGCCACTCCCTGACCAGCCCATGAAACACAAGGGAGGCGCATTATTCGGAATATAGACAACTGGAGACGGGAGACCTTGTCTGACTCCACCGACTGTCCTGTGGCCACTTCCGGGGGGGAAAAGCCACCTGAGGTCTCTCTGCTCCCAGTCCAACATGGCTTTCGTCACGGGAACAGTTTCGCCCTGTGATCGGGGGCCACGAGGCTGATTTTCACGAGGCCCGGCGGCGGAGGCTGCTTGGTGTGGCACGGATTCTCGGCCAGAGGGCAGCTGGTCTCTACACAAAGGACAGCGAGGAAATTTAAAAAAAGAGGAAAGGATGGGGGGAAGAACATGAGAACGCCAAGAACGCCTTCTCCCCTTTCCCCCAGAGCCGGTCCAGAATGTCACTGTTCCCGAGCATGCGGCTCAAGCGCCCGGACCTGCGTTCCACACCACTGGTCTGTTTCCCCGGAGGTGCCGAGCAGTTCACAGTGTTGCACCAGTCGGTTGCTAGACGGGAAGGATGCTTAAGAGTCATTTCCAAAAGAGGCTGGAAAGGGAGAAAGGGACAGGGTCGGGAAAAGCAGGAGAGAGCGGGGGGGGCGGGGGGGAGAAACGGAAAGGAGTAAGTTTGGAAGCCGAGGAGAACGTCGAGCAGCCACTGAAGGACACGGAGGACTTCGCTGCAACAGGAACGGTATTAGGAGAGGGTGAGCTCGAAGCAAGAGGGGCGGCCATTCCTGGAGCAGGAGAAAGGAGGGGGGGGGCGATGGTTCCCTGATTCTGCCAGCCAGTGTGGCCATTCCTCAGGCCTCGCGCCAAGAAATTCCTGGGTTTTGGCCTGCCATTACTGTTGGGGTTTTTGGAACCTCGCATGCTGCCTTTAGTAGGTTTTGCTGGGAAGGACCTTTCTGGGGAATGGAGGGACTGTCAGCGTATTCAGCACTAACCAATCGTCCCTGTCCTGCCTCTGAATTCAAAGAGCGACCCGGCTCTCCACTCAGCACTTCTTTCTCTCTCTAGACTCTGTTGAAGTCTGTTGCTGAAAGCAGTCATGTTTGTCAGTTTGCTGTTCGATCTGTTCAACTGTAATTAATGAAGCCTTTTCGCTCTTCTCCTATTAATGTCTCAGAGTGAACTATTGAGACTGTAAGTGCCAGTTAATGAGAGAGAGGGAGAAAGAGGTGGAATGTTCTGAGGAGCTTGAAGCTATTCTGCCCTGTGAATCCCTAAAATTCTGCTGCACAGCTAGAGGAATGAATGAGGGAGTTCAAAATGCTGCAACAATTGCTTTGTAAATACTGTATAGATCTTTGGCCAAAGCTCAGATGGGTCCAGAAACACTTGGAATACTTTTGGAGAGAGAAAGACTTTCTCCTTATGGCAGAAGAGAGCTGAATACATGCTCCCTAATATTGCATTTCTCCCCTCCATTTTGCTTCCTACGGATTCCTTGATCCTCTAAGGGGCATGGGTATCCTTTCATCATCCTTCTTCCCCTCTTCTTTGGGCTCAGGTTGGGTGACTTTCGTAACTGAAAGAGACCCGAGTTCAAATCAGGTTTTGAAAACATCTTCTGTGGACTGAAAACAGATCCATGGTATGGTGGGTGCTGAATCCATGGTGAAACTTTGTTCCCCTCTCGCAATTCTTCAGACTCGTAGTTCCCAGCCTTGTGTCCCCAGAGGCTCTTGGACTAAAACTCCCAGAGACCTTCACCCCTTGCTGTGCAGGCCAGGATTTCTGGGAGCTGTTGTCCAAAAACATCTGGGCACCCAAGACTCGGAACCGCTGCTCGAGGCTGACGTTGTTGTGACGTGCAATCAAGCTGCTCCTACCTTATAGCAGA